TACCTACTAAAGCCACCAATCGTGACACCGACTATCCATATTAAAAAAAAATAAAACATGCGTATTTAAAATATAAGTTGTAGTTGTAAAAAAAAAAAAAAAAAAAAAAAAAAGGGAGATGGAAGGGTGAGGGGTTGGATTTGGTTTGACGAGGCGGTGGCTGGTGGCTGGGGTCTTTAACCCTTTTTATCTTCGATCTAAGCACACATAACATAACTTATTCTTCCCCTTCCCACGCTTCGCAGAAGCTTCGATCTCTTTCTTCCGCCTTCCGCCCCACGCACATCGCCAACTAACTCCAATATTTAATCAATCAAAAAGCCCAACCGTTTCAAACCCTAGACCTCGCCCAGAGACAAGAGATGGACGATTGCTGTGCCGTTTGCGCCGAGCCTTTGGAATGGCTTGCCTACGGACCCTGTCTGCACCGGGAGGTCTGTTCCACGTGCGTCGCTCGCCTCCGTTTCATCTGCGACGATCGCCGTTGCTGCATCTGCAAGACCCAATGCAACCTCGTATTCGTCACCAAGGTCTCACCACTGCCCACTGCTCTCTTCTCCCTAGTATTTTATTCATTGCTTTCTGTCATTTTTCGATTCGATCAATTCTTTCGCATCTTTTGCCCTAAATGAGGAGTCGTCGCTTATTGCTACTCTTTGCGCTCTGGATTGGCCGAGTTAAACTTTCATCGCTGCCATATTCACACCTACTGTTCTGTTGGATTATCATGTGGATTGTATTTTATCAATTAGAAGAATCGTTCACATCTCTTGTCTCTAGTTTGGAGTTGTCCCGAGTTATTCAAGCGCCCTAATTTTAAGCATATTCTGAATTTTTTACTAGATCACTGCCACTTGTCTCTGCGTCACTTATTTTTTCTGCTTTCGGCTTGAGAAATTTAAATATGGCGCTCGTTTTTATGGAATTTTATGCAAGAAAGAAAAGACTTTTACCAAGATTATATATCATATAGAAAACTATATTATTGATATATATACACACATAACGAGATAGTTACTTTTCAGAAAATTATAATGAGGGTGTTGTTTGAACCGAAGATATCTTTATTAACTTTATTGTAATGCATCCGGAATAGCATGTATTTCTTTCAAGTTTTTTACTTGTTTCTAAACTGCTGAATTTATCAATTCATTACTAGTTAAACTTGTATGATAAGGAAACCGTGGTTTTAATTCAAAATTGTTGCCTTTAAGCGTGTCATGTTTGCTTAAAACCTTGACAGCGGGGATTAATTTGCTAATTTTGCGTTATTTTAATTGGTGCTGTCTTTTTTTGTTGTCGTTGTACTGCATACTCCCAGGCTCTTGGAGATTATACGAGGATGATTAATGACTTTTCGGCCCTTCCTTCGGAGGTAAGGGAGGGCAAGGTTGGATCATACTGGTACCATGAGGATACAAATGCATTTTTTGATGATGTGGACCATTACAAGATGATCAAGGCTATGTGCAGGCTTTCGTGCAGTGTATGTGACAAGATGGAGGAGCAACCGCAGGATGCTGCCTCAAGGCGGCGAGCAAAGTTTAGGAATATAGGGCAGTTGAAGGGTCATTTATTCCATCGTCATAAGTTGCATATGTGCGGTTTATGTTTGGAGGGAAGGAAGGTGAGATTTCCATGTGTCTCATGAATTTCTTGGATAACATGTTTTGTATGTAATCTTTGTTTTGCTTTTTGATTGATTCTTAGTCTTGTAAACATTTCTATGCAGGTTTTTATATGTGAGCAAAAGCTATACACCAGAGCACAGTTGAATCAACACATAAGCACAGGTGATTCTGAGGTGGACGGAAGTGAGAGTGAGAGAGGTGGTTTTATGGGGCATCCCATGTGTGAATTCTGTAGAACCCCATTTTATGGGGACAATGAACTGTATATGCATATGTCTACAGAACATTATACTTGTCATATATGCCAAAGGTAACAACTAAGATAATCCGGTGCTCAATAGTTGTGTCTTAAATGCAAGTTCATAACATTTGTACTTAATGCAGGCAGCATCCAGGCCAGTATGAATACTATAAGAATTATGATGACCTAGAGGCAAGATATCTGCATTAGGCTTTTCTCTTGCTCTCTTAAACTAGATGGGTTACAAGATCTTTCCTGTCATTGGAATTGAATGTATTTGTCTTGACAAAATGTCTTTTGGTCCAGATCCACTTCCGTCAAGAGCACTTCTTATGTGAAGATGAGGCCTGCCTTGCTAAGAAATTTGTTGTTTTTCAATCTGAATCTGAGATGAAGGTGACTGATTAATTATAGCACATGGGTCTTTTCTGTTTTGCCTCTATTTTTAATGTTTGGAATGTGTCTGTGCTGTTCATGCAGCTGCTTAATGATTCTCCATGTTTATGTGTTTGGATGATGATTATTCTTATCCTAAACAAAAAATTTATTAGATGTGTCAGTGTTATTGTGGAGATTATTCCTTCACTATTGATCTTCTTTTTCCTTGTTTATGGCTTAGAGGCATAATGCTATTGAACACGGAGGGCGGATGTCACGATCTAAGCGTAATGCTGCTCTTCAGGCATGTACAATGACAATCTTTTCTTTTGAACTGACTTCTCATGTCCATTAGTACTGTTAGTTTTTGATGACAAATTACTTCGTAGATGCTTTTCACTCCCTAATGGAAGTAACTGTAGCTTTCATCCCCCCTTACAGATACCAACTAGCTTTCGATACCGACATGGTAATGAACATGACCAACGCCGTGGAAGAGGTGGTGCTGGAAGAGGCCGTTCGTTTCGTCGTGATGTTTCTGAAAATCAACTGTCTATGGCCATTGAAGCTAGTTTGGAGACAGCTAATGCAGAGCAAACATTCCGGGATCAATCAACATCAAGTAGTGGGCAAGTTCCTGTTGATGATGGGAATGCTGATATCGATTCCATCCTTCAGCCATTTGAATCATTAGCTACAGCTGGTTCTGAACCAGCTTCAAGATACCTTCAAGCCTTGGGGCATAGCTCTAGGAATGGACCTCTGGAAGATTCTTCCTTTCCACCGCTGCCCATAGCTTCTGTCAATGGCCAGCAAAGGTCCAGAAATGAATCTGAAGGTTCATCTGGTAACACTATGGCTGCACGTTTGCGTCGGCATGGAAACAGAAAAGTAACCGTTATTAATTCTGGTAATGCTGGTAATGCTTGGCCAGCAGCAGGTCGTGGACTGGCAGTACAATCATCAAGTAATTCTTCCCAATCTAAACTGTCAACAAGTAATGCTCTTGGAGTATCTCGTGGTCTTTCACCATCAACTTATGCTGGTTCTATTCAGGCTACACAGAGAACTTCTCATGGACAGTTACCTGCTGGTTCATCAAGGGACAATGGCAGAATAGTACACTCTGCATCTGCTCCAAATCTTATCGAAAATAACTCTGCTGAAGTTTCAAATTCTGATTTTCCTCCAGTTTCTGCTGCACAAGTGAGTAAGTTACCTGCAAGCAGCAAGTCTTCATTAAATGTGGAAAATGTTCAGTCTGCTAACAAGTCCTTGGTTGAAAAGATTCGTGGTGCTCTGGATTTTGATGAAGAAAGATACACTATATTTAAAGACATATCTGCCCAATATCGGCAAGGCACAATAGATACAGGTACATATCTGGACTATGTGCAGCAGTTTGGCTTGTCTCATCTTGTGCTTGAGTTGGCAAGACTATGTCCGGATTCTCAGAAGCAGAAAGAGCTTGTTGATGCTCACAATGCTAGTTTGCAAAGAAATGCTTTACCGGAATATAACTTGGTTCTAGGCAGCTCTAGCATCCATCGCAAAGACAGTAGTGTAAACAAGAAAGGTAAAGGTAAGTCTGTAGATGGTAGGGGGAGTAACTCCACAGAGAAATTAGCAGATAGCTTTTTAAGCACCGTACATCAGCTACAGGCAAGTTATAAATCTTCAGAAGAGAAGGTTGAGGTGTTATCAAGGGGTGATTACCGCAGTGACAGAGGCAAATTAAAAATCGAGCAGCGGATTGATACAAATTCTGGTAGTCAACCTACGATGAGGGTTAGTGGGCACACTGAAACATCAAACGACAGTTTATCTAATCAAAGTAGAGAGGATGGGGGTGGTGGGAACAAGCAACGCAAGAAAACTTCTAAGTTCCTGAGAGTGCGCCTTGGTGATGGTTCTGTTTCGGCCCTTCTTGATCAATCAGATCCTGCAACAACAGAAAACTCAGAAGCTAACAAGGATGACTCTAGTGGAGGGCTGCCTGTGCGAGGTGTTTGGCGAAATGGTGGAGGTCATAAACTTTTTTCTTAATTTTTGCTTCACCGCGACCCCGAAATGGGAAATATCAAAGCAGTTGAACTGGCTGTCAAAAGCCATGGCTGAACTGCAATATAAACATGAATACGGTTTTAGCTTAGGGAGTGATATTTGATTATGTCGAATTAAGTTAGATTTCAAGCTGGGAAGTGACTTTTGTCGTTGTGTTGAAGACCGAACGCCGTTGCCTGAATGGGCTTATATTTTTGGTTTGGGGTATACTTTGATTTTGATCAAGACAAGTGTTCATATGAAAGTATAGTGCCAAGTGTACTGTTTGTTTCGTACGAAAGTGGCACTATTTCTTACGTGACGATTTGCAATTTCATGCTCATCTATCTTCTGCAATTGTATTCCCTTCTGCGGCGGCCATTGGCCAGAGCCAGGCAGTATTAATCCATAGCTGTTTTGGGGGTGTCGGGAACGTTAAAAAAATTGGGTATGTTTTGATATTTATTTTAGTATAATTGATTTTAAATTGATTTATTTTTTAAAGAATTAATTTTGCAAAATTTGTTGTTGAAAAAAAGTTTGGGAATGACAACAGGAAATAGTTCTACATATAAAATGTATTTTTTATTCCTATATTTAATTTTTTTCACTTTAAAATTAAGATTTTAATTTTATAATCATTCAAACAGTAAGTTTTTTCCCTGCCTCAAATATGCTATGAAAAGTACAGACGATACAACGTGTGTAGAGTTGCCGATGAAAGCTTGTTAATCCTTTTCTTCAAATTTTGAGGTCTTAAACAGAAGAACATAGGCTCTAGATTACAGTATGATATCAGGAATGGCAAACCCCATATTCTTCTGAATTAATTGTACTATAAACTGAATCGCTTTCCGTACAAATTCTAGGAATACGTATAACCCAAAGAAGCTGAAGTGTTGTTCTGAGGTAAGTCATGAAATCACTCGCAGCCCCTAAATTGCTAATAGACGTACTTATAAAATTTCCTCCGCAACCTGCAGCCGTAACATTTCATGCGTGTGAGTATAAGTTTATTTGTCATTCTTGATAGCCACATTATTTGTACTTATGGAAGTATGTGTTGTATTAGATTAGATTCTTTGACACCAGGTCTGAAGTTGATAAGATCCTTATAGAATCTTGCTTTTTTTACAGCTTACAGTCATCCTTGAGTTGATTATTTTTATTGAGGATAAAAATTAAAGAAAATGAGATTAGTATTACTATTAATACTTGCAGTAAAGATGTCCCACTATATGGAGAGTGATAACTCCATTGAAGATTCGTACCAATGTATGAAAATCTTTAATGAAAACCAAGTAGATTCTAATCTAATAACCAAAAGAGAAACCAATGCTTAATTCACTCATTATGTAACAGAAACTTCAATACTATTCAACTCATAAAAGAGACTACATATCTTTTTTATTCATGTTGACTAATTCTAATTTACTCTCTTTTCCTAAAACATGCCTAATCATTATCGACAATTAAAACACAATCAAATCTCCTAATTCTAAAAATAAAAGCTAAAAATCCACGCCTAGCATCTGCAATGAATCAACTCATTTATCACAATTCAAACAAGTACAAATACTTTCTGTGTTTTGGTAAATATAGGAGTTAATTATTTTCGTACCAGGATCATAATAAAAGAAAATTATTATCTACATGATCTAAAGTGAAAAATGATCTAATAATGACAGGAATGATCACAAAAGCATTCTTTTTTCCATCAAATGATTTGTTCACAAACATTTTTTCATATGGAACAAATTGAAGAAAAAAAATGAGCTTCATATAATAAACTATAGGCCATTTAAACCTTTAAAAATAACATTTAATTTGCTGAAAAGGTTTGAAAACCAAAATCACATAGTTCAAACTAATAACATAGAATATAAATCAAAAACTCAAAACATAAAATATATATAAATCAAAAACTCAAAACATAAAATATACACACAATTAAACCAGAAAAATTTTGAGGATAAAAAATCAAGATTAAATTAAACTGTTTGTCCTCGAAATTTTTTTTTTTTTTTTTTTTATAAATTCAACTACTTAATATGTATACAAACTTTTTTAAGAATTCGGAATTAACATATTATAAACCAAAAAGAAACAGCGAGGAAGTGCAAGCTTATAAACCCTTGGTGGGTTCAACGGATTCATGCTTAAACCCTATCTCACTGCATCGTTGAAGAAGCTAAATGGATTCGGCGAATGGAACAACGGTGGTGGAGGATCAACGGTTAACTGAATGGCGCATGCATCGTGGCCCCTACCTCGGTGACATCTCAGCTCTCTGTTTTCTTCACTTGCCCAATCTCCCTCTTCCTCTTCTGCTCGCCGGTATTGTTCTTCCCAATCGTTCAATTGCACAATGTTTATTATGCTTCATTTGTTTTAACCTATTCAACGCTTCCTTCAGGTTTGGGTTCGGAGATTACGGTGTACAATTTAGAATTGAGTAACAGAATAAGATCCTTCTCTGTATTCGAAGGAGTTCGCGTCCATGGAATTGCTTCTAGTTTCCCTCAAGACACCGTGGTTGCTGTGTTTGGGGAGACGAGAGTGAAACTGCTTAGCTTCGCATTTGATAGCGTTTCCGCGAGCGCTGAGTTGACGCTCATTCATTTGTTGCCCAAGTTTGGTCACTGGGTTTTGGATGTTTGCTTCCTCAAGGTGAGTGAGTGAGTGAGAGGGTGTACTCACCGGATTTTGATTTTGAAATAACGAATGATTCTTACTGTGTTGTTCTAACTTGTGCTACTTTTCCTTTTTTAATTGGTAGTAGGGATGCTTACCTCGTTCCAATGTGGAGAGTCATTTTCTTGCTGTAGGATGTAGCGACAATTCAGTTCACATTTGGGATATTCCTAACTCTAATTTGGTTTTTAAGGTTCAATCTCCAGGTTAGTTTCAACATCACTACATGGATTGGTTTTTTGTTTGTAGACCTTTTTTTTTAATGAGGTTATGTTTGTCAATGGATCATAGTTCGGTGCCTTCTATACTCAATGCGATTGTGGGGTCACAATCTTGAAGCTCTCCAAATTGCGTCTGGTACAATATTTAATGAGGTAAGAGATATGCTGATGTTTAATGTTTGCACTTGATCTTGGAAATGCAGGACTAGAGTTGGGCAAAATATAAAGAATTTGTTTTTGAACATTTTGTGTCTGCCCTGCGATTCCCTCGTTGATTCTTTTCAATAGAGTCTTGCTGGCTATTTGTAGAGGAAGCATTCAGCTTACGTATTTCATGCTAATTCACCAAATGGAATTCCTTCCCTCATCCTTTCTTTTGCTTAGTAAATGATGGTGAATGCTTCCTGGCCTTAATATTATAAAAGGGGAACATGGAAGAGAAGCATAAAATATATAAGCAGCTTATAGATCATGCTTTTGATGACAAATTGACAATCAATCTACTTAGAAATATACAATCATTCCTTTTTGTATGCTGAATGTTTTACAGCATGCTCCAACATGGAAAGACTAGGTATGTATGATAAGAAGTGAACCAAGACCATTGCCTGAACCATTGATAGTGCAATTTCCCTCCTTGTATCCATCCCTAGGCAGTTTTACTATTATTTGGTCTGAAGTTGGGTCCAGGTGCCTAATTATCTTTGGTTTTCATAACAGTATTGTACTTAAAATATTTGCCATTACCCTTTTCAAAAGTTCCTTAAGTTCATTATGGCCTGATGTTTAATGTGTTGATGTTTCTATTTTCTTTTAATTACTTCAAAGAGTTTGGTTCGGGCAGATTATTGTTTGGAAAGTGGCCCCACAACACAATAAATCTTCAAGTCATCAAGAAAACTGTGATCATCGGAGTATTTCATCCTCCAATTGCTGCCAGCTAAAGGATCAACTCTATGAGGCTATTCATGTATGTAAACTTATTGGACATGAAGGTTCGATCATCCGAATAGTATGGTCATCTTGTGGATCTAAACTGGTATCTGTCTCTGATGACCGGAGGTGAGTTAGTTTTTTAAGTCCTATTATATCACTGATTTTTGTCCATTATTAGAAGAGATAATGACACATGGCATGATTGGCCTCCTTTTATTAATGCAGTGCACGGATCTGGGCTGTTCCTATTGAATGGGAACAATCGTTGAGACATGATCCCGTTGCCCTTGTCTTATTTGGTCATAATGCTCGGGTTTGGGACTGCTGTATTTCTGATAATGTAAGCCATTCAGTTTTCTTATTTCCTGAGGTTAAATAGGACCTTTTAATAAATGAAACAGCAAAAAGGAAACCATAACCCTCTTGATTATACTATACATATGAAAAGCTTTATCTTAAGAAAATATCATTACTGATATTGTTTAACTTCCTATATTTTTATTCATTATATCATATTGTGTTCCCCCACTGCAACAAAAAGGTAGAATTATTATTCTATTATTTCATAAATTTTCCACTTCGTACCTATTTTATTGTTTTCCTAAATTTCCCTTCCAATGATCACTGTTAACAACTAAATTAATTATTCTATTTTGATTTGATGTAGTTTTTTTTATTGGAATGTCTATTTACCTTTGAGATAAAAACCTCTACATAGACAGATCTTATTTTCTAGACTCAAGATTTTTACTCCTATTTTTCTCCCTTATACGTGGCAAGTGACTTAGATTCTTAAGTGTTCTTGTAACCTGTTCCTTTAATTATAATTGACCATTAAATGCATAAAATTTGAAATGTACAATAATATTTCTAAAGATATTCATGTGCTGCTAGCTTAAACTTTGTGGATCATTTTACTTCTTAAGTTGTTTTTAATGTTTTTGACAGCATTAACATTGTACTCATGCTGTGTTTATTTGTTGACTTAGATTTCATTTATATTTACTTTTGGGTCTCTGCAGTTGATTGTCACTGTCAGTGAGGATTGTACATGTCGGATATGGGGAGTTGATGGTAAACAACTGCAAGTCATTAAGGAGCACATGTAAGTTATAAACATAAATACTTGATATCATAAAAAATAAAAATAACTACTTCATTGTTGAGTATTAAAATGTTAATTTTTGATATTTGGAATTTACTGTGGCTCTAATCAAATAAGCATTGAAGATTATCTGGACTTTTGACAATTCATGTCCCTTTAACTTGTATTGAAAGCCATTGATCTTGCGTTAATCCTTAAAAGATCTGACTGTAAAAAAAAATCACCTTTTAATTGTTATTGATTTCCCTTGCTTCACTTTATTGTTGAAAATTGTCTGTTTTTTGTTGATTGATATTTGCTCAAGGTTTAAATGAACCAACGAATTTCATAACCTGAATCTTGGATTTTCAACAAATAGATGTTTCGATTCTGTCCTTTGTAAAAGTAAAATTAATCGTGCAAGCAAGTTTTATTTGCCTTATATCTTGCAATTCTAGCCTTTTACTACTTCACAAGAGTCATAACCCGAGTACTACTTAAGTTGTTTTCTCTGTTAGGTTTTATGACAACAGACATGTCCTTACTTTCATGTCTTTAAGATTCTCACTATTTCACTCGTAAGAGGAATTAGAGGCACATCTAAATATTTGTATTCTTTGCTGTATACAGTGGAAGGGGTATATGGCGATGTTTGTACGACCCAAATTCATCACTTCTTATAACGGCTGGGTTTGATTCTGCTATTAAAGTACATCGACCTCATACTTCTCTGTCCATGGGCTTGGAAGAAGAACAAGAGTCCCCAGGTAGGACAGAGATGTTTTCCATCTGCATCCCTAACATGTTGGAGCATATTGGATTTATGGACAGGTAGGATAAAACATAATGAACTCATTTGGGATGACTACTAATGTTAGAAATTTGGAACTGATTTTAAGATGCTTTTGTCCATACTCAGTTGTGTTAACTGATTTCCATGTTGACTGGCCTTTTTGCCTCCGTTTTTGTTGCAGCAAGAGTGAATATGTTCGATGTATGCGCTTTTCTTGTCAGGATTCTCTTTATGTTGCTACAAATAATGGTTATCTCTACCATGCCAAATTATGTGATACTGGAGGTGCTCAGTGGAATCAACTTGTCCAGGTCAGCAATGGGGCGCCAATTATCTGTATGGATTTATTGGCCAAGGGCTCTTTTGATCTTGATGGTGGTAATGAGGATTGGATTGCTATTGGAGATGGTAAAGGAAATATGACAATTGTTGCAGTTGCAGTTACTAACAATGATTGCACTCCAACAGTGAGATTGTGTTTTTCTTGGCCAGCTGAAATGGAGAGACAGCTCTTGGGTACTTATTGGTGTAAATCTCTGGGATATAGGTAATGAATTTCTCAAACCATGCATAGATACATGATGCCTGTTGGTGAGGTTTAGATCATCTATCCTTCTGTACTCCATCCCTGATGAGTGTCCCAACCGTTCTATTAAAATGAGTTAATTCAAAAGAAAAAAATGCATTCCATACCATTTATGAAACTTTAATCAGGGAAAAGAAATGCACTTATTGCTAATGTAGTTCAAGTTATGTCTCTCTTTGGTCAACAGGTCATAAGATCATACAATTCATACTATGTTAAGCATACTCATCTCATAGTTTCACCATACCATATAAATCGCATAGCACTAGAGAATGGGAGATCCTATTATGTTACACTCTTCTCTAGTTTGCCCCATTCCGTTTCACAAACTGTTCTTTTATTTTATACTTATTTTTTTGCTTTGGTTCAAATTAATAAAATATTATCATTCTCTGGTGACAATTGTGTAGGTATGTCTTCACAGCTGATCCTAGAGGAACATTGAAACTATGGAGGTTGCCTGACCCTTCACAATTTGATCTTCAGAGCTCCACGAGGAGTAACAATGTATTGCGTATAGCCGAGTTCATATCAAACTATGGAATACGGATAATGTGTTTGGATGCATGCATGGAGGAAGAGGTATTCATCCATCCATGGATTAGGATCTTCACATCTTTGTTTTGGTCATGCTATGAGTGAAAAGAATAGATAATTATGGTATGGGGCCATTATTTGTGTAGGCTTCATTAATTCCATTTATCTATATTCTGCATTTTAACATTCTATTCTTATTGGGGAATTTTGATGTGTTCACTGTTGCTTGATGATTCTCTATAGAAAATCATAGAATTTGGACTTAGAGCTAACTCAACCCCATAAAACTAGATTGTAAGGTGAGGACTGCCCAAGCTATAAAAGCTTTATTTAAGCCACATCTCTAATCTATGTGAGACTAAAGACCAAGCCACCAAAGAGGTTGTAACTAAGGCAGGCTAGGGGTGGCCACAATTAAGGTGGATCTTCAATAGAAAACTATAAGTGACTTGATAGAATCTGTCTTTATGATGCAAGTAAAATAGCTTTTTAACAAAAAATGCTTTTATGGATAAATGGACCTTGGTATGAAATAGTTCAATAATTAATCATGAGGAAGAGAGACATGGGATATTTTCATTTTTTCTTTTAAAATATTATGATACTAATATACTAGTTTACAATTTAAAAATGGAAGTTCATCTAGAATCATAATTGCAGGTTCTAGCATGTGGAGATGTACGTGGTAATATGGTTTTGTTCCCTTTGCTAAAGAATCTGTTGCTGGGCATATCTGCTGCACAAGAAACGAAGATACCTCCTGTAAATCATTTCAAAGGGGTTCATGGGATTTCAAGTGTCTCCAGTGTTTCTGTGACTAAGCTTGGTTATAATCAGATTGAGATATGCTCAGTATGTTCAGCTATTGACCCTTCTAATTGTGGTGATCCAAATTTAAATTATTTGCCAAACATAACACTGAGAGCACTCCTAATATTTTAACCTGCAAGTGCAGATATGGTTGTGCTTCACTTTGATTCTAATTGTTGATTTTTATTTTGGTTTAGACTGGGGCAGATGGTTGTATATGCTATCTGGAATATGATAAAGAAATGCTGAATTTGCAATTTACGGGGATGAAACAAGTGAAAGAATTGTCTTTGATTGAGTATGTTTCTGTGGATAACAACGGTGATAGATTGTCAAGCAGCTATGCAGCTGGTTTTGCATCAGTGGACTTCATAATATGGAACTTAGTTAATGAGAATAAGGTACTTTGACTACCTTATCTCTATACTCTGCTTAGTTATATACATGCTCACTAATCTGTTGGTGTTGGTGCATACCAATCCCACCTATTATAGACGTGATGATAATGTATGGTATTAGCAGGTGGTGAACATTCCATGTGGTGGATGGCGGCGTCCTCATTCCTATCATCTAGGTGATATACCAGAGATGAAGAACTGCTTTGCCTTTGTCAAGGTTTGCTTTCTGCTTTGAATGCACTCAAGTCCTGAACTACTGAAAAAATTAGTGGGCAATTTCCATTTCCTTTTGCTGTATCTGTCCTAAAATACATTTGCACATGCTCATTAGTCATTAGACACAAGATCTTGCCGCTCAAACTCAAAGTAGTTAAACTCTTGTCAGAAAATCTGTGTAGTTACCGTGACTTTATATTTGAGATCATTACATGGATTGGGCTTATATGAGATATATAAGATTTTCATGGGTTCATGCCCCTTTTCGTGGCTTCAATGTTGCCTTTTTTATTGGTTGAGCCTAACAATGAGGATGGACTGGGTAAAGTTAAATAAAAACCCAGTTGAATCTGATTGCTTGATATGTGCTTACTCTTTAGATTTCAAAAATTTTCCAATCATATCTAAGTCTACTTAAATGGAACCTTTGATCATCTTGTTTGGCATCCCTTTGTTCTGTTTTGTCAATGACATGGGTGTAGATGTCAAAGAAGTACTAAAATTAGGGTTTGAAATTTAGCACTGCAGTTGTATTATAGCATTAATTTTAGCACTTATTTTCCAGCAGTCACTTTATTAGGTTCTAGGCCTATTTTGTCCTTGATGATTGATTTTTGTTATCACAAACAACTTTTCTGAATAACCCTAACAAAAAGGCCAATTATAACAGGATGAAATGATACATATACATAGACAATGGATTCATAATAGAGATGGGAAGATATACCCTCAAAGTTTGCACATGCAGTTCCATGGTAGAGAGATACATTCCTTGTGCTTTATCTCTGATGATGTGCGTGTTAGAGAAAATAACAATTGCACCTTATTTTCCAAATTAAGTTGGATTGCAACTGGATGTGAAGATGGAACTGTGAGGTTGACCCGGTAAGACCATTGTTATCTGCTGTCTGTAGAACTAAACTTGAATGCTTTATTAACAACTGACCTGTCTGTTTGATTCAGGTACTCTCCAGGTACTGAAAATTGGTCTATGTCAAAACTGCTTGGTGAACATGTTGGAGGATCGGCTGTAAGATCAATTTGTTGTGTGTCAAAAGTACACACCATTTCATCAGATACGATTGATGTACCTGATGGGAGGATTGAACTGAATTCTGCTGTTGAGAACAATGATAATCCAACATTACTGATATCAGTGGGTGCAAAGCGTGTCTTAACTTCTTGGATATTAAAAAATAGGAGGCTGGACAACAAAAATGACTCCCTAACCGATTATCAGTATAATTCAGAAGGAGTTGATGATTGTTTTTTGTCAGGGTTGTCCTCATCAATGACGTTCCAGTGGCTTTCCACCGATATGCCAGCCAAATATTCAATTACACATGATGCTACTAAAAAAAATGTGGAGAAAATAGTTGGTGTTGCTAAAAATGTGTCTAATACAAATAATGATGCTAAAATGGGATCACTGATTTCTGAAAGTGGAATGACAGACTTGATCAGAGATAAACATGATGATGACTGGAGATATCTTGCAGTCACTGCTTTTCTTGTTAAATGTTCTGGTTCCAGGTGATGAGAAAAGATGCCTAATATTGCTTTCTTGATCATGTATTTGGTTTAACTCTTAACTAATTTCCTGCAAAAAGGGGGGAAAAAAAACTGAAACTAACCTTTCATTTCATATATCTTTCAGGATATCTGTCTGCTTTGTTGTTGTTGCATGTTCAGATGCTACACTTATGTTACGGGCTTTAATTTTGCCTTTTCGCTTGTGGTATTTACACTTAATCTTGTCAAATTCTATGATAATTTTTTCGCTGCTTTTTTTTATTGTTCTTGCTACATTTCACATGGTTCTTTCCCTGTTACCTGATGGCAGGTTTGACGTTGCTTTACTGGTTCCTTTATTGGCACCTGTTTTGACATTGCAGCATATCATCTTTCCCATGTGTAAGCCTTATAAAGGTTTGTATGCCATGCTTATGAATTATGATTACTGGCATGAGTTTTGTAACTCCTAATTCCTTCCTTTCATGTGGATGTGGTTGTTCTATTGTAATAAGCCTATATTATTTCCAAGTTTGTCTCTTCAAAAGTTAATGTGGTTGTTACCTTTTGCATGACAATCAAAATTAATGATACCCTTGATGCATCATGCACTGGCATTGAGAACCCTAAGTTCATAGATGAAATTGCCTAAATGTTTGGTTTGGGTTTATTTGTGATCATGGGGCTGCTTTTAACAGTCCAAAATAAGACCCTGCTATCGGTTCACTGAGATAATTGATTATGACTAGTTAATTTGGTATTCAGTGATCAGTGCTAAGGATATTTCAGTAATTTTTCCATTCCTGGGTTATTGGGCATGTTTGGGAAATCCGTTGATTCTATTTTGATGTCCGTGGGCTTTCTTTTAGTGCATAAGTTTTTCTTATTGGTTGTTAGTGTGTTTGGATTATATACTTTTTACAAATTGAAGTTTGGTTGAACTAAACCTTATAAACCTAAGTTTAGTAAAAAGTTGATTTAGTGTAACTTGATTATGTTTGGATAGTGTTATTCCAAAAGTACTTTAACCAAATTGAAACTTGTTTGGATGATATTAACTAAAAACACTTACAAATGCATAATTATAAAAATGAGCATGAATTTTATATAATAATATTAAAATTATTTATTTCATTATTTTTAAATATATTTAAATTGATAACATGTTATTATTATTACATTTAAAAAATTGATGCTAATGTTATAAATTAAAAATAATTAATTTGAAAAATGTTAAAATATATAGATGAAAAATATGATTTTAATTAAACAAACACAATATAAATAACTAATGATGGTTTGCTTCTAATTATTATTTTTAAAAACCTGCGATTGGAATTTCTAATTCAATGCATTTTTGAAGATTGTATCGGTCTTTCATATTCTACCTGGGTGTACTAATACTTAAAAGTATATTTTGATTGAGAGAATTTACTATTAATGCATCTTTTCACGTCGAACGCAAAAGCATAGAAACCAAAGCTTTGAGTTGAATGTTAATTGTGAAGGAAATCGTGTTCAACTCAACAAAAAATGAAAATTGCCAAAGACATTAATGCACCATTCAATAAGAATTGATCATCGGTTTGAGAGACTACACGCAAAGCTAAACATACCCTAAGTAGTTGGAAGTCCGAAGCTTACGAGGTTTTTCTTTTAGTGCATAAGTTATAGGAAGCTTATTCATAGGTTTGTAATACTTTTAATAAAATTATCAGTTTTTTCATTCTTAGATGTGCTTTTACCTATTTAGAATGACCTAATTCCCAACTAGAAGAATACCCTACTCGTAAACGTAAATTTGTTATGTGATGACATTATTTAGATTCTGTTGATTTGAAGTGCTTTCTTGTCATGCTTAGTTTATGAAATGTCATAATTTATTTGTTAAGATGACAAGTTAGGCTATACTGTTCCTTTCTCATATAATTTTTAAAATACTATAATACTTTGAGGGCTGTTGCTCATATATGTTCTGTCCAGGACCTGTTTTCTGGTATAAATTTGATTCATCTTATGTCTGAACTTTCTTTTGCAGAAAACATCCCAGTTGGAAATGTTTATATTGTGATTAGTGGATCTACTGATGGAAGTATTACTTTTTGGGACCTAACTGACAGTGTTGAAGCTTTTATGCAGCGGGTTTCAGTTTGTAATGATGAAAAAAAATTTGATTGTCAAAAACGACCACGCACAGGGAGAGGTAGTCAGGGTGGCAGAAAGTGGAGATCTTTAAGGAATGACTTGTCAAAGAAAAGACAAGACAGCAGTCTGGTCACTTCGCAAGCCAAAGACAAGACCAAAAGCATCAGCTATGCTCCACACGGGAACTCTAACATGCCAAATGATTCTGAAGACAGCAAGATGGTTTGTTCTCAATCTACACACACAGGTCCCCCGGAGTTACAAAGCACCCCGGAGTTACGAAGCAAGACTGATAATTCGTCAGTGGAAATATGTGAAATACAGCCTCTATGCCTTTTGCAAAATATTCACCAATCTGGTGTCAACTGTCTCCATGTTTCAGAGATAAAGGCTGGGCAAAATACTGGCAGTTGTCATGTGTACAGCATAGTTAGTGGGGGTGATGATCAAGCACTTCATCATCTCATGGTGGAATTATCACCTAAATCGATAAATTTAAATGATGGGATTTTGAACCCAGACATCACACATTTGGTTTCTGTACCTGAATATGGAAAGGACGTCAATTTTCAAAGTCAGAGCAAGAGTTATAAGATTAAATTCTTAAATTACGAAAATTTTCCCTCTGCCCACAGCTCTTCTGTCAAAGGTATAGTTTCTTTTCCTCGGTGTATATAGAATAGTGGGCATGTCAGGGTTCCATTGTTTGATTCGATGCTCTTGCCTTGCCCCATAAAAAAATTTCAGTTACTTCATCTAGCATATTTTTGCACTAAGAATGTCAAGTCTATTATTCCCCATATAATTTTTATAGTTTACAATACTAGAATATACATGTCTGGTAGATTTGCCAAAAGACTGCATGTGCTTTTCATTTGCTAAAATTTAAAATACTTATGGTCCTTGAAAATCATATATCCATTTTTGAACCACTATCAAATTGAAGCCAATATCTGGAAATTCATATGAAGTTTGATCATTGATGCATCATAATCAGCCTATATTTTTTGAAGGTGTCTGGACAGACGGAACTTGGGTGTTTTCAACTGGACTTGATCAGCGGGTCAGGTGCTGGCATCTTCAGCAGAGCAAACTAATTGAGCATTCATATCTAATAGTTAGTGTGCCAGAGCCAGAAGCATTATCTGCCAGGGCTTGTGGCAGGTGATTGTTATATATGATATGATGATCAGGTTAGATCATCTATTGTTTCTCTGATCTGTTGCTTTTGTCTCGTGCAGGAATCATTATCAGATTGCTGTTGCTGGAAGAGGGATGCAAATAATCGAATTTTCTGAATTTTGAAACAATATTGATGACTGGCGTAGAGACTGAAGCCATTGTTGTATTTTTATTTTATATTTTTATACAACACCCATAAAAATTAATTTTTGGATATATTGGATATAATAGGTAATATCTTTATCAAGAATTCTCTAGATAAGAATAAAAACTTTTTTGTAATATATGTGATTTTTGGAACAAGAATATACAAACCATGGAAAAATCAAATCCAAGTGATCCTTTGTAGGCATTTGCCTCCGGCTTTTCCTGTGCATACATCTAAACTTTAATTAATTCCCTAGGAAAAGAAAGATTATGAGAAAGTAAAATATTCAATTAATGAATCCTGAATCTTGACTCTATGAACATTTAAAAATCCTTATAGATATTAAATACTATTAAATATTAATAAAATACTAAAAAAATGAATAATTTTTTTTATCTTTTTAATATTTAATAAGAATTTTGATTTGTCTATTTACACCGATTTACACCGATTTACAAAGTATTTTAAATTATTTTATGTTATGAATTATTGACCATATACAGTGACATCCCTTTTTGAAAAAAAATGAAGTCTTATCATTTTTTGTTATACCATCAAGCAATTTTTAATTAACATAATGACATCGAGTTCTTATTGTTAAATCATTTTTTTAACTAATAATTAAGAATTATTTTCTCCTATTTGCTACATCAAAAACTAAATTACAAACTTTTAATAAAAATTAAGTAGTTTTAATAAGATTTATAATATGAATATTCTTACATTTTACGGGTAAGATAAAAATTAAGCAATTCTAATAAAATTTATAATATGAAAATATTCTTACATTTTACAGATATATAAAGTAATCTAGTACCGTGACTAAAATAAACCTTTGTCCTGTCATCTCTTCTAAAATTATGTTCCAATATCTTCTTGACATTTATATTTATCCTCACATTTTTCTTTAATTTCCTTTTTGTTTTCGCAATGAAAGAAAAAGACTCAATATACTTTGCTAAACACATCTCATTTCCTATCTTCCTCCCTATTTATTCATTTTTATTCCAGCAAAAGAAGTGTGAAATAATTTTGCTTTTAAAAACTTTGTGTGGGAGTTTTATTTTTTTGTTATGAATATGAAGAGACACATCATGATTTTAATTTTAGATTAAATTCTTAATATATATATTTTTTTAATCTTTACGCTAAATCCAGTCATACTTACCATGTGAATCATGCACGAGAAGCTTCGGAAAGAAAGACTAGATGTTTAATGAGGGAAATGTTGAGAAAAAGTTGAGTGTATAAAACACTGGCGTAAAAATAAAATTGCGTCCTTCAACCATGAATCTAAATGTAGAACTTACATCATATTTTATGAAGGCTTATCAAATATAATCATAAAGGATGGGGTTAGAGTGTTGTTTCGTTCTATAGAATTGATTTTTACAAAATGTGGCGCTGACACAATTCCACACCTACCTTGCAGGATTCTGATTTTTCCCCACATATTAAACGCACCTACAATCTGCAATTCAAGTTTAATTCTTTCTAGGCATCTAGGTTTCTGAAATATAACTGTCTTTCCAATTACTACTATTTTAAGAATTATGGCGGCAATAAGTTGTGTCTTGGCTGTTGCGTGTGTTTGTAACGAACTGCATTAATAGTACAAGACAAATGCATGTTACCACATTTATGGTCTTTTGATCCATCCAGATTCCAGATATCAGATCTATACTTCAAAATTCAAACGCCGAAGATATGGGACTTCTCTATCTCTTCCCACTTGTAAAGTTCAATCCTTGAGTTCTTTCTCTTCACGTTCCTTTTATTCTCTCTCTTTGTGCTTTTGGATTAGAGAGTAGAGATGCACATGCTCCACATGAAAGCAAGGAATAAACAATCAAACTCCCCACTTAAAATACAAACATTATCTCTAGTGCTCAAAGGGTAAATCCGGTTGTATTCTAGTTCTAGATGGAGTATTAAACATTGATAGCCCTGCCAATAAAACTTTACCAAAAAGATTAATTAGTGTTTAATTGTGGAAGATAAACGCGTATGTCAACTATATAACATTCTCATAATCTATGGCTTAAGGTTGACTAAAATCACTGCGACACTAGTTCAGAGGAAGTCAAGTAACCGACCCATAAGGTCATTGTGAAATAAAGCAATCACGTGTTTAACTTTAAAAGTGTGAATCAATGGGTGTAACATTATTTCAACTTAGTTGTGTTAACATTAATTTTCTTAGTTGTGGAATAAAAGAACAACATCATTCCTTAGTTGTGTTGTGTTAACATTAATTTTCTTATTAAATGATATGTAATTTTTTAAGCATATAAAAAGAATATCTCTAACCAATAACTAAAAACTACTATTATTTTTAGACGAGCTTTTCTATAGTCTTGTGCTTAAAAACTTAATTATTTGCCGTCAAAAAACACATAACTATTTATCTAATTCTATGAGCTTTGTTGGTTCAATTTATATTTTTATTAAAATGGCAGTATATTTTTTTAGGAGGGTGATTGGGAGGAACTGGATTTATTGATAGGTAATTTTGTCTAATTTTTATAATTTTCTCTTTAGGTTATACTTAATGACAAATTTATCATTAATTAATAAAAATTGAAGAACTCACAATCAAAATAAAAATTGAAGAACTAAGATATTTTTATTTAATATATGCCCTAGATGTCAAATGTGATTAAATATATCACCATAAATTTTGATTACATTATTTATTAATTATTAAGAGTCAAAGATATTTGTGTATTTTCAATCGAATAATTTGCCAAGATAAAGAATGCGTGCACTGATTCTGATTGGTAGTCACCAACCGCGTATGACCGTTACGTGCCAGTTTGCCTAATTCACTGACAGCAATGCCACACTTATTCTTTTTTATTTCCAAACTTTCCTTTCCAATTTATTTTTTATTTACCTCTTTTTCTTCCATTCTTTTCTTTTTCTAAATCAGATTCTTATTCTTATTTATAAAATAGACTATGTAATTAACTTTTGCATCACTTTTTTATAATCCCATTTTTTAATAATTATTTTTTTAAAAGAGTATTTAGAACTTACTTTGAAGTTTAATTTTTAGAAGAGTCTTTAATCTATGAGTTAATCATCCATACATTATTAATGTAAAAAAAAATTTATACTGACAATCAATCATATTTTTTAGTAGTGTCATGTTATTTGTTTATTTAATTAAATAAAAATAAAATAAAATAATTTAAAATATATAATTAATTATCAATGTAAAAAAATTTAAACTATCAATATATAAATGATTAACTCATAATTTATTTGATTACGTAGATTCTAAAATGTGGAAAGCGCTTAAGCACACTTGGCATTGGTAATGGGTTTGTTGAGTTCTTATATGCTCAATTTCCATTACTTGTTTACTCATTAAGCTTCAATTTGGTTGGTCACCAACCTCCTACTTACCACCATATAGGAAGAATCAAGAATCGAATATGGTGTTTCCACTTGCAATAATGTGTCAATTAATTATTAATTTAAGATATTCAGTCGTATCCATCGCCACCTCATCAATCATCACATGACCCAAGTTAATAATTATTATACCTTCATTTTGACTAAAACTATTTTTAGCATATATATCTTTTCTCTATATTATATATGGTCACATCGTCTTCCTAATTCATATGAATCTTTTTCTTGTTCATTAGCTAAAACTGTGACTTTCTTTTTTGCTGGAATTGATTTTTGATTCATGAGTCAAACTTTAAAATCTTTTTTCACAATTTTTTTTTTTGGCAAAATTTGATAAACTCTCTTTCATAAGTTTTTTTTATTGAAACTTAATAATAATAAAAAATTTCACATGACTCATTTTTCATTTAAGACAATAACTCATTTTTCAAGTTAATTAATTATTTTCATCTTACATATCTATTTATTGACTTAATATCTTAATATTAAAAAGGAAAATAAAGTTTTAAAATAATTTCAATAAATTTTAATCTTAAACAATATTCTAAAAGAAGAATAATATTTTTTAAAATTTAAATAATATGTTAGATATTTAAATTTGGAAATTTAAAGAATGATAAAATACCCGAGAATGATATGTGATTTCATACCAACTATCTAACTTCATCCGGTGATAGATGCATAAACTCATTCAGGTTCCTTTTATTGACTAAAAAAATGTTAATTTCCCATTGATTTAGAATATGAGTGCCATATTGGAGAATGGAGATGCTATTACGCCAATTACATTGCCTAATGTCATTCAGACATTCACCAACGCCAGCGCTGATTGGTTTAGCATAAATTTTTGTCATTATGCATTTGGTTTTTCCTTTCTCTTCCTATAAAAGCTCAATCTAGTAGACTTGACTATCCCACACGCACCATAAATTATTCAAAGAGTCAACACCGAATTACCGATCTAAAATGAAATGAAATAAAATAAAATTGCCACATTTTCACACTCAGAAAAATATTCGTTAATTAATTAAATTTTACTTGCCTATATTAATTAATGCCCAATTCAGATATAGGTGCATATTATTTTGCTGTAAGACATATAGGTATATATACTCGTCATTTGTAAGGCTAATGACGCGCATTTAATGATATATATTGGGCCCATTTGTTAAAATCAGATTAAAATAAATGACGCACATTTCATGATAAATTTAAAAATAATTGGATTGAATAGATGTTTTATATGAATTTGAAATTATTGTAAATAACATTTATATTATCTAATTATTTTAAAATCATATATTAACTTAATTAGATGATGTAAATGTTATCATACTCCTTTCAAATTCATATACAACATCTATTCAATTCAATTATTTTAAATTTATCATCAAATATGTGTTATTATTTTGAATTTGATATGTGTGACAATATATTAGTTATATATTGTATGATGATTATGTTATTAAGATGAAGATATTTAAGTTGTTTTATATTGTAAGTTGTATGAATAGTATTGGTAACAAGTTGAAGTTGTATGTTATTTACACTTTGTGTCGCTCTCGTGTAGAAAGAATGTGCAAAGTAGATATAAAATTACATATTAGAAAACATGACAGATTAAATTCATTAGACTAATGAAGATAAGTTGTATATATAGTCTAAACTCTTTAGACAAAATAAACCAGACTGAACCTGTCATTTTATACAAATAAGAGACTACAAAGCATATAAATGACACAAAAGATTTTGAGTAACAATCAAGAGAGTAAAACAAGATTAACTTTTGATTGTGACTAGGTCATTATACAGCAGTTTATATGATAATAAGAATTATTTATAAACTTTTGTATGTAAATTGTATATATATACAAATTATTCTTTTTATATTTTTTTACCTTATACATACGTCGTTATGCATGATAACCTTATATTAGTTATATGTTATTTTACTTTCTTCATTGCATAATAGTCATTTTATGATAAGAAAAATAATCAATCAAATCTTTATAATAGGTATCCGTGAATATAAATATTATATTAATTATACAATTATCTAAAAAATAATTAAACAATCAGATAAGAATTATAACAAATAAATATATTAAATTTAATTATTTACTAAAAAAACAATCATCTGATATAAATATAACATAATTAACAGGTAAGTTGAACTCTATGTATTTTTTAAAATAAATTTGTTTAAAATAATTATAAACTAATCAAATCAAATATTTAAATTAAACTAAAATATTTTTATTTTACAATTTTTACATAAATAAAAATAAAAAATTACATATTTTATATTAAAGTATAAAATATATAATATATATTCCGTATAAAATGTAATATTCGGTCTGGTTATATATATTCTGTATAAAAATTTCCACACTCATAATAGAAAATATTATAAAATAAAATAATAATAAAAAAAAAAAGTAAGTGCCTTTAAAATTTGAATGAAGGTATTTCAGAAATAAAAAATAAAAAATTAAGCAAGGTGACAATGGGACCTACATCTACTCCTGTGCTACCGACACCTACACGTAATCGGTTTGGGTTGGTGTGTGACAGGCAATATTCGGTTATAGAAGTTCTTTCGCAATCTCACCAACCCCTTAATTTGGGCGTCAAATCTAACGGCGATACCGCAAGTTCCGGTGGCCGGTCACACGGGGGGCATTGATTAGTATAAATAGGGAGACAGAGTCCTTGGCCTTCCCCACAGCGTTTGGAGTTTGGTTGTTTCAAGGTCTGGTCAGCCTCTAGCGAGTCACATTCTTTGCTTCAAACCCATTCGTTCTCACTCGCTTCAGGTTCTTCTTCTTCACCCTTCTCCTTCTCTCTTTTCTTTCGTAAACCTTCTTTTCCTTTCCATTATTTGTTCATCTTCCATTCATTACTGTCCAAATAAGCTGCTTCCTCTTTTGACCTAACTACACCGTTACGGTTACAGATCTGAATTTTATTTGCACTCTCTGATATGCGTCTACTGTTGTCGTTTGAGTATATGAAATACTATTTTCTACTGATTTACTTTTTTATTATTTATTTCCTGAGTTTTGTTCTTTTGTGGTATTAGATCTGATGTTTTCGCAATAATAATCCACTAATTCGTTGCAGCTGTTTTTCTCTCTTTAGATCTTGTTTTGGTGCTTGATGTGATGCTAGTTATTTTATTTGCTTGTTCAACTCGGTTGCACAATGTTCATTTACAAGTGATTCCAATTAGGACTTTTTTATTTCCAAATTTTGAAATGAACTATTTTATTTTTTTGGAGATATATGGTGTGCTTTCGTGTTTCTAGAAATCCTACACTCTGTCCAACTTGGTGGCCGTGGAATCCGGATATATACTTTGTTATCGTTTTGTATTTAATTGTTTTATTAGACCAAAGCTTTTTAAAAAAGTAAATCAAGATAAACTATATTTTAAGCAATCTTGGCATAAACTTTCGAGATCTTCTTTCAATTTGTTGTGGGGATGGCGCTTTAATTTATTCCTTTTGCAATATGATCTGGAATTTCAGCTGCTATTGATGAGCACCAAGTGAATATCTTTACTAACTTTTTTAGTCATTAGGGTCGACCTGGTGATGGAAGTTTCTGTCCTATACTTGAATTCTCACGTATTCATTGCAATTATTTTTGATAAAAAAGAAAAAAGTGAAGTTCTTTTGGTTTTTAAGCATTTGTGCTTTCTAATGATACTATTACTAAATATTGTGGTTTTTGCTGTTTTGTGTAGATTGAGAAATGGCAGCAGAAACCTTTCTATTTACATCTGAGTCTGTGAACGAGGGTCACCCTGACAAGCTATGCGACCAGATCTCCGATGCAGTGCTCGATGCATGCCTTGAACAGGATCCTGACAGCAAGGTTGCCTGTGAGACATGCACCAAGACCAACATGGTCATGGTCTTTGGTGAGATCACAACCAAGGCCAATGTAGACTATGAGAAGATTGTCCGTGACACATGCCGCAGCATTGGATTCATCTCCGATGATGTTGGTCTCGATGCTGACAAATGCAAGGTCTTGGTCAACATTGAGCAGCAGAGCCCTGATATCGCCCAGGGTGTGCACGGTCACTTCACCAAGCGCCCAGAGGAAGTTGGTGCTGGTGACCAGGGTCACATGTTTGGCTATGCCACTGATGAAACCCCTGAGTACATGCCTCTAAGCCATGTCCTTGCAACCAAACTCGGCGCTCGCCTCACCGAGGTAAGGAAGGATGGTACCTGTGCTTGGTTGAGGCCTGATGGCAAGACTCAAGTAACTGTTGAGTACTACAATGAAAATGGTGCCATGGTTCCAGTTCGTGTCCACACTGTTCTCATATCCACCCAGCATGATGAGACTGTGAGCAATGACCAGATTGCTGCTGACCTTAAAGAGCATGTTATCAAGCCTGTCATTCCTGAGAAGTACCTGGATGAGAAGACCATCTTCCACCTTAACCCTTCTGGTCGTTTTGTCATTGGTGGCCCCCACGGTGATGCTGGTCTCACTGGAAGAAAGATCATCATTGATACCTATGGAGGCTGGGGTGCCCATGGTGGAGGTGCCTTTTCTGGCAAGGACCCTACTAAGGTTGACAGAAGTGGTGCCTATATTGTAAGACAGGCTGCAAAGAGTGTTGTGGCTAATGGCCTTGCCAGAAGGTGCATTGTTCAAGTTTCTTATGCCATTGGTGTCCCTGAGCCCTTGTCAGTGTTTGTTGACACTTATGGAACTGGGAAGATTCCTGACAAGGAGATTCTTCAGATTGTGAAGGAGAATTTTGACTTCAGACCTGGAATGATCACCATTAACTTGGACCTCAAGAGGGGTGGCCATAGGTTCCTCAAGACCGCTGCCTATGGACACTTTGGAAGGGATGACCCAGACTTCACCTGGGAAGTTGTGAAGCCACTCAAGGGAGACAAGTCTCAGGCCTAAGAGTTGTGAAATTAACCCCTCCATTCAATGAATGTCTTACTGGGTGTGGATGAATAATTTGTGTGTCTCATTGCTACTACTCCCTCCATTCATAGGTCTAATACCATCTCATCACCATCATACCTAAGCTGCTCGATATTTTTTTTTACTTACAATTTATTTTTTGTTAATGCAATGTTACCGAGTTGATGCGAATGAAAATTGTTTTGAACACCATTACTATTTTAATTAAACTTCCATTTTAAAAATTTCATTACATATTTTAAGTTTTAATTTTAGTTATCATTATTACTGTTATATAGAGATATCTTTCGACTGAGTTAGAAACTACCCTTAATTACCTTAAGTTATGTTACTCTTTGGATATTGACTTGTTACGTTAGTTTACTCTGTTTAATGTTTGCTTACCTCGAGTTGTTTATGATTATATAAAATAAAACGATTTTCATTTCTTTTTTGGTACATTTTGGTTATTCTATTTAAAAACTGGAGAAGTTACGTGCTTAATGCTATGCTGCGATTGAAAGAAAGAAAAACAATTGCTTTACATTTGCGCAATTTTTTACATTAAAACTTTATAGGAATTGTTTCTTATGCTAGCGGCGCAGTCGTATTTGATTTTTAATTTCCGTAGCATAAAAAGAAGCACAAACAAAAGTTATGTGAAAAACAATTTTGAGTTTAGTTCGAGTTTTTTTTTCATTGTTGACCTTTTCTTTATCATTTAGTTATATAGTTGGTCGGACACTTTATGTATTTTATAATGGATCGCTTATTTTCTTAGTTATAAATCATCAATTTTTTTAATTATAATATTCATACAAAATATTATTATTCACAAAGCTAACATAGTCTATTTGATTTGTTAACATTTGAATTTTAAATAATTTAGTTAAAGAATACAAGAGTTATTATTAATGTTAGTCATTATTGATAGTTATAAATCATCTATCTTATCGATAATAAATCACCTATCTTACTTTACTTTGAGTCTTTGACCTGGTCAGTTTTAATATATAAAGAATTTTATCTTAGTTTACCTGAAGAATTTTATCTTAGTTTACCTGAGCTGTTCAATTTTAACATATAAGGATTTTTTAGAAATTACTTTTGAATATTATTTTTAAATAATTATTAAAAAATATGAATTTAATTATATAATAAGTATTAAAAAATATGAATTTAATATATAATAATTATTAATTGACTAATAATGCTGAGTGTTTTTTTTTTATATCAGTATATTTCAATTAAATTCAACAGAATAAAGTGAAGCAAAAATATGAATATTTTTATTTATTCTCTTGGTAGATAAAAAAATTGGCATTTATTCACTAGCGCTACATGCTTCAAAAATTGGCATTTATTCACAGAACTTTAACTATGCTTGGACATATTCCATTTCATCAATAATTCTTGCGTATTTGTGAATAAGCTATGCAACTAGAAAACACGCGTATAATGTGAGTGACGGATATAATACCACGTGGAAATTAAAATATGACATATTTTAAAATTATAATACACAATATGTTATGATAGGAGTTTGGTTCTCTCCATGTCTATTTCCATAATTTTCAATGTATAAATGACATTAAATATTAATCATAAAAAAAGTAATTAGTATTTAATATCATTTATACACTCAACATTATAAAAATGGATAAAGTTTCAATAACATAAATCTTATTTTTCTTAAAATGTGTATCATCTTTATTTTATTTTATTTTTTAAATTTAAAAAATGAAAGAAATGGACATGAAAAGATATGGAAAGGATCCAAATTCTTAAATTAGACTGCTTTGTTTGAACCGTCAACGACTAAAATGAAGGATTGTGATAAATTTTTGAGGGACTAAATGAAAGCAGGAATTTTTTTAAAAAAAAAACTTTTAAAGATCAGGATTCCTCTGAAAAAAATGATAATGATGAAAAATGCACTTTGTTTGCAAATATTAGTAGGTTTTTTTTTTTCCTGAAATCATGAGTCATTTTAATTTTGAAAAGAAAGAAACAATAACGTTTTAAACTGATGGATTCCTTAAACTAAATTACTTGCTAAGTAAGTATATTTAACACAAAGTTAAACTAAGTAATTTAATTCAATTGTGGAAGCTAAACACAATTTAAAAACATTAAAATAAATAATTAAAGTGAGATGACTCCTTTCAAGTTTTAAGAATAAGTTAATTTTGCCCTCTATCATAAAGATCCTCCCTATTTCTTTTTTTTTTTGTTTTTTTTTATTTTCATAGTTTTTTTAAGTGTATAAATGTATAAATGATATTAAATATTAATTATTATTTTATGATTAACATTTAATGTGATTTATACCTCCAAAATTATTAAAATTGATAAATAAATAAAAATAGCGAGAAAGAAATTGAGGATCCAAACTCTGAATCCATATACATAGGGGGAAAAAATATAAAGAATGACTTTTATTTGAAGACAATAAATTTTCATCAAAAGGGTTGCCAAAAGAACCTTTGTTTCGTATAAAGGATGGCTTTGTTTACGTCATAAGTCATCATTGATTTATTTATGACTTATGAGGGTGGGACTAATATACTGCCCATTAATTAATATTATACATCATTTGACCAACCAGTCATTATTTATGGGTTATGGAAATTATTTGAAAAAATAACAAAGAAAAGGAAAGACATCATGGGTCTTGTACTCTTATTCCATTTTAATTAACTTTTTAATTCATTGTCGAATAATATAAAGAGTTCTTTTTTTTTTTTTCGTGGATTACGTGTAACAACTCGCCACACATCATCCGAATATATATATATATATATATATATAAGTATAAAACAATTAAAAATAATAATTATAATATATATACACATCCATTTATTATGAAATAAAATTTTCAAGTCCATGCTCAAACAATTACAGCAAAACTTCATACTATTATTAACAATAGTATCAAGTTATTTGTCAATTTGAAAATTAATATATAAAGAATTTTATCTTATATAAAATATTAAAAATGAATTAAAATTAATGACTATTCATGTATTATGTTGGTCTGTTTAAATGTTTTCAAATGTTAATATATATTTTTTTCAATAAAAATCAAATTCAGTATCAACGAAATCTACAATACTAACAATCATGTTTAAATACAAGAAACGATGTATTTAAAATATATATAAAAAAATCCCACAAATATAAGTTAGAATTGGAAAACATAAAAATAATTTTTTATTATATATTTTTTGCTTTATCTTATATAAAATTATCATAAAATATAAAAACATGTCTAAATAAAATATTTGCATTCAAAATGAATAACTTATGCATGTAAATAACTTATGCCATAACGTTTTTTTTGGAAATTATTTATGCCGTAAAGTTTATGCTGTTTTTAGTAATATCAATCATATAATGTGATTATTATTTAAAATAAATAACATGAGTAAAAAGTTAGTTATTATTCGAATGTCTCATTATTACTATATATTAATTTGCCATTGAATTAAAAGTCTCTACTTCAAATAAATAATTTTTTAAAAATATTTTTGAAAAATAATTACTAGTAGTATTTTTTTTTTTTTATTTCGATGAAGTTTTGATTGCAAGTGGACCAGAACCAATAAAAAGAGGGAAAGA